TAATAATAATAATAATAATAATAATAATAATAATAATAATAATAATAAAAACAATATTGGTAATAGTAATGAAGTAATGATTATAATGATGTCAATAACCTTAAACAGAAATGATTTATTTTTCACTTATTTTATTGTTATTATATATTTTGTATTATAGTATGATAGTAATATTAATAGTTATGTTAATACCATTGATAATGCAAATGATGCTGCCAATACCAATGACAATAACAACAGTTAATGATGACAAAAACAAGGCCTAATGACTATGAACTAATAATATTGTGTAATGAGCAATGACTCACCTCGCGCAGTTCACTGTCCTCGGCCAGCAGATCCACCTTATTGCCAACGACCACAATTGGCACCGCTGTGGTTGCCTTTGTCTCATGTATTTGATCTCGTATGGCCCGCACCTCCTCGAATGTGGACGCATCGGTGACATCGTAGACCAGGATGAAAGCGTCTGCCGACGATATGGATAGAGCGCGCATTGCTGGGAACTGCAAAAAGGCGAAAATGCGGGCATTACAATTTTTACCAAAACGCCCAGTGACATTTGATAGATAAAAGGCACAAAGGAGGACAGCCAGAAAGAGCAGAGAAAGAGTGAGAGAGAGGGAGAGTGTGTGTGAGTGAGAGAAAGAGAGAGAGAGGGAGCGGGAGGAAGTGAGACATGCTGAGTGAGTGGGAAAAGTGTTGAACAAGCGGCTTAAATTACACATAAAATGCTGTTAAAAATTTGCATATTATTATTGTATTTGCATACATGCACACACACACAGACACACACAGGCACAGACACAGACAGGTCTTTGCGCACATTTATGCACATATTTTAATAATGACAGATAATAATGTAAATTTTGTTAAGCGTTTCGAGGCGAGCACTGAAGTCCCTACTTCACTTTCGCCCCCGCTTTTTCTCATTAAATGTTTGTCAAGTTGCAAAATAAACTTGAACATTTTCCCATTGACATTTTGTGTTGTGCGTGTGTGCGTTTGTATGTGTGTGTGTGTACTTTATTATGTCATACACCAAAGGCAACAAAGGCCGTTTTTCTAAAACGCTGTTTTAGCATATCAAAAGTTGACTTTTGAATAAATACATTTTTTTAAATATATATAGCAAATTTCATTTACAATTTTATTTTTTCCTTTTAGTTTACTTAACTTTTTTCTGTGCCTAAAAAATGACTTTATTATCTCGTACTCTGTTTATTTCAATCAAACATGCGACATTTGTGTCATTTAAAAATGTTTCGCATTTGCGGGCCACACACGCACACACACACACACACACACATACACATCTGACCCGTAACTGAATTTCAAAATGGCAAATGGTCAAAGCGAGTGCAACGTAGGCCCCACAAATTGTGAATTATGCCTTAAATCTTTCAGCAGCAGCAGCAGCACGAGCTGAAACAATGGTCGGGCCAATGTGTCCGCCGGGAGACGGAACGCATGCACCGTACAGGACTCAATTAAGCAAATTTTTACCCGCAAAAAAAAATTTATATATATATACGTGGTTGTGTTTGAATAGGCAGCCTGGGCGACTGTTCAATACTCGTTCAGCAAAGGCAATTTCATGAAATGTGAACAGAGTGTGTGTATGTGGAGATCTATAGTTCTGTATTCTGAAGATCAGCAGGAATTTATTCCAAGTAAACCTTGAGCATCTTAGCCTTGAAATTGTAATAGATATACATACATATATGTCGCATGCTCAACGGTTTTATATATGACTCGGCGATCTATTAATGAACTCTGTTTTCAAGCTGTAGACTCTGTAAAAACTAGGATATGCCCCGATTTGCCAAGCTTCTATATACCTACATATACCATATACCATTTTCGGCATTTCTTTTCGATTTAGCTCTTTCATACACACACATACATATTCCTTTACACTTCAAGTCTATAGACAAACGTCTAACTGCTCGACGAGCCTTGCATACTAATATGCTCTTCTCGCTACATAAACGAGTATAAAATGCAGAGTAAGATCTATGGTCAAAATTCGTATGAGAATCATAAGAGAGAGAGAGAGAGAAAGAGAGAGAGAGAGAAAGAGAGAGAAAAAGAGCTAGAAAAATCTGGATTTAGCTAAAGTGTATAAAAGTGTTTCGGTGTTGCAAAGCAATGGCAAGTGTAGTGTTGAGAGTGAAATTGATAGCAAGGGAGCATTTATTATACATAGATAGTGCCTACATACATAGGTAGTAGCTAAAGTAACTGTATTACAAATATGTATATATACAATAAATGTATATTATCATAAGACGAGGTGTTTAATCGTTTCAGTCGAATCGAAGGACGCGACCAAATCATAGCGCCTACTGAGAGTGTTGGTGTTGGAAAATATGCAAAAGTTCTGATAAGTTATTCCACATATCTCTCTGATACTCAAAATAAAGCTGTACTTGTATTGTTAGACAGATGCTAAAAAGTTTAGAGTTTGAATAGGAAAATTCGTATATATTCAAGCAGACATACATGAATACATGTATATCTACAGTCACTCCATTCCGCAACAAATTGATTAAATAAATGAAACAGCTTCAGCAAGCAGAGAGGAAACACGAGCTCCGCAAATGAAATGAATTAGAGAGACAGACCTTTGAGATGGAGCTGACATTAATGCAAGAGATGTGCGTACATATATGGTTGTAATGGCTGTCTGGTTGCCTTGCTCTGGCTCCCTTTCACCTACTAGCTCTCTCTCCTCTCTCTTTCTATAATGTGCGACAGGGAACATGTTTGGCTGTCTGCTGGCCACAACCGCAACATTTTGGCTACGATCTGGTGTCTGTTGCTGTTTGCCGTTCCGTCTAACACTAATGGGCGCCCAAGCCATGCCACAGCCAGTCACAGTCACAGTCACAGTCGCAGTCACAGTCAGATTCATTATGGGAGAGTTGCAGTCTGGGGCAGGCAACAGGCCCAGGCCCAGGCCCAGGCCCAGGCTGAAGGCAAATGCTCTCTATACAGCTGCTGTTGTTCTGCTGGCTAATAGAAAGGCTCGCATCGAACAACAATAGCAACAACAAAAATGTATGTATAAATCGGAATGAAAAGAATGAAAAGAGCTAACAACAATGGCAGTGGCTCACATCAGGCCACAGGCAGAACAAGGCACAGGTGCATATGCTGCGCCTGCTGCTGCCGCTGCTGCCGCGGCTGCCGCTGCTGCTGTGGCTCCATTATGCCGTCCTTGGACAAACTTTGCCCTTGCCCTCTGGCCAGCTTATAGAGAGTGGTGCATCATGTTGCCGATATATGGTTTCCAAAGTTCATGATTCACAAAAGTTTAATTCCATTTTTCAGCCACTAATGGGAAAGCGGAGCGTCTATAATGTTAGAATAAATTGTAAAGTCTTAAATGATGCACTCTCCATAGCTTACATTTAGAACTATGACTGTAACTGGAACGGACACTAGTAGAGCTAGAAAAGCTAGAAGTATTCCATTGTAGCCATGCTTTAACTTTGTTCCAACTGAATGAGCACGCGCAGGCGAGTTATTTAACGAGGTTTGTTCGAACAGTATTGGAATATATCAAGTTTCTGAGGTCTACGTATACTAGGTTCCCATATTTGACAGACCCATGGCAAGAAGATTTGAGAGCATTGGGGAGCTTAAGACCAGAATAGAGGTATAGAAGATTTGAGAGCATTGGGGAGCTTAAGACCAGGATAAAGGTATACGAATCACCATCAAGACTTATACGAATTTTAGATAATGAGGAAATAAGAACAAGAATTTTTAATAAAATGCAACGCACTTCGTAGTGTCACACAGTTTAGTATTGAATGGGTGAAGCAGCAACTGTTGCCTCTCATACATCCTCATTCATTCGAGTGCAGCATAGATCACTGAGCTTTCCCTTCAAGTATCGCTCCAGATGCCTCTTTGAGCTAAAAGAAGCCATTTATCGTGTTTATGCTTGAATTATATTCAATTTTCCTTCTTAAATTGATCATGAGAGCTGTCGACATGTCCGTGTATGAACATCGAAATAAATTGCCCAATATACAAATTGCATTGAATTTATCTAAGCCAAATTCTTTTGACTATACCCATTGCCCATGGCTGTTTTCTCAGCATTGTGTAAACTGTTTTATGATACCCTGTAAAGCGTCACAGTTGATATGCAAAATTTTGCATATATAAAGTTCAGCCCTTTTTTAGCTGAGCATAACGAGGGCATCTTCTAGTCGAGCATTTGCTAGTTTTTTTTTGGTTGCTGCAGCTGGCATTGTTATGATTGCATATTATTGCATTGGAAATGAATGCACATGGCAGAGGAGCAGCAGGGGCCGCAACAGCAGGAGACGCAGCAGGAGCTGCTTCGGCATCACAGGATGTGACAGCAGCGATAGGTTAGCCAAGCGCCCAGCCAGAAGCTGGCTATGAGCGACCCTTTTTTATGCACACTCAACCGGGACGGTTGGCACGCTGTCAGCTGGCAGTTGGCAGTTGGCAGTTGGCAGGTGGCAGGTGGCAGGTGGCAGACGGCTGCCAAAAGCTATCCTGCTCAATGTTATCACTCTACATCTCACTGGCTCTCACTCACTCTCTCTCTCTGTCTCTCTCTCAGTCTCGCACCTTATCCCTCTCTTGCGCTCTCCGCTGCGGTTTCCGCTCGTTACACATTTCACAGACAGCTTGGCAAGCCAAGGACAACGACTGCCAGGATGAGCTTGGCTTCGCACTGTGCATGTGCTTTGCTCTCTGATTTCTCAATGGACTCGAAATTGTTGCCACTTGTCCTGCTGATTGTCTATGTGTGCCACACTTCACTCTTCCCCCACTCTATTTTACTAGTTTAGTGCTTTTTGGTTACAGCAACAGCAGCAGCTGCAATCGTAAGTTTTGTTTTCGACTGCAATTGTCTTTGGGCTAGCCCCGAGCTCCAGCATACACGCTTATTGGCCCTGAAAAGTTGGGAGCTCTTGCTATAGAATTTGATTAGCGCCAGCTAACTAATTTAATCAAAGACCGTAAACAACTACAACTGCAGCACGTTACACACAAAAAAAAAAAGAAGAGAGAGAAAAAATAAGAAAACCTGGCGAACTTTTGAAATCAGGTTAGAAACGACATGGAGAACAGTTTTTAATTGCATTAAACACCAAGCAACAGTTGACAGCCAAAGGTGTGCGTGTGTGTGTGTTAGTATATGTGAGTGTATTTTTTCTAGTTTCCTGGAAACTATTGAAAGTACGTCAGCTGTGTGGGGGTGCAGTTCTTTGAAAAAATGGATAGTAGATAATGTGGACGATTTTATAATGTATGTACATATATATGTATGTGTGTATGATAAGGATCTGCCTCTGTGTACATTTCTTTGAAATGCTGGTGAGATAACAGGGACTGGCAGCCGAAGTTTCATCTATTGAAAAGGTCTTGAGTTCGTTCTACATTTAACTTTCTTTAAAATCTTAAATTTAGGAATCAGTGCACCTTAGCCCAGTTTGAATGATTCTGGCCTTGC